CGGTGCACGGCGCACGGCGCCCGAAGGCCGCCTCGGGCTGGAAGCCGCTCTCTCGCCTCTGGCCGCCGGCGTAGTACCCCGGCGAGTGGTCGCTGGGTAGGTAATCGCTCTGTGAATACTCCTCGCACGGAGGAAACTTGGGGTCGACATAGTTTGAGTTGATCAAAAAGGAACTCATAGCCATTAATTTCTGGGAATTGCCCACAAAATATACTAAAATTTATTCCGACCCCTGACTCGTTTTCCTGTTTCCGAAAGCCCTCCTACTTACTGTCAAGTGAACAAAGTTAGGGGCCCACGTGATCCTCCGAGCCAATGGCCACCCGGCCTGCGATTCCCGGATAAGGAAATCTGCTCACCCGGACCCTACTCCAGCCAAAGAGGTTTATTTCCCCTTCTCTCCCCCTCCCCACCCACCCAACACCAGGATTTACATAGGCTCTTGCGGGGCGACCCCCTCCTCGCCTGGCTTTCTCCGCAGCAGAGAGCGGCGAAGAGCTAGGAAGGAGTGAGCAGGTTAAGACTGGAGAGCTTGTTTTTGGGGGGCTGGGCAAAGCACAATTTCTGCATTCCCTCAGATGTTGGGGCTCCGGGTGTATCCCCCTGCCCTACCTCACCTCCGCCACCCGTTCTCTTCCTTCCATAGGGCCCCATCTTCTCCCCAGGGTGAGTGGGAGCTCACGCACCGGGTGTCTGTGTGAGGTTAAGTGACTGGTGGGCCAGGGGGCTCCTTCTTGAAAGGGGCACCCACTAGGTTTGAGGGGCGCTGAGCTTGGGGCTTCTCATATCAGCCAGTTGGGGAGGGGTAGGAGGTGAGTGAGGAGGCGTCGGGAGCTAGAGGGCGGGTGCGCAGAGGGACTTGTCAGAGATGAATGGAACCGCGGGCGGATCGATAGGAAATTCACGCACTAATTCGGGGAGACTTCGCCTTCCAAATCGCATTTAGCTGCACTATTAGCTTTTCTGTGTCTGTCAGTCTGTCCTCTCCTCCTAACCACTCCCTCCCTTTGACCCACAAGGCCCAAACTCGGAGAAACGACTTGACTTCCCCGCACTAAAGATAAAGATGGAATAAAACAAAACCTGCAAGTTTCGAAAACAAATGGAGTAGTAATTTGCTAATTCCAGATTCATCGAAGCAAAGCTAACCGTGGCGTCAAGAGTTCTTATTGCCGCTAAAGCTGCCGCCTCTGCCTGTGTGACCAAGAGAAATCTCACATCCTTATGATCTAAGGAAAGGAGTCCTAGCTGTGACATCCCCACCAAGGACACACGCACTAGAACACCCATGGCAACCTCATATTTTTCAGGGCGTCTTGTCCTGAACCTAATGAAATAGCGACCTCCGCATCCGTTTGAAAAGCAAATTTCCTTTGCCTTTGCACACTGTAAGCAGCAGTAATCCCTGCTTCCACATGAATTTCAATAACGCACCCTAGACCCATCATAGAAAAGAACTAGGTTTGGACTTAAGGATACATTTTTTAAAATCAGCAACAATAACCTCTTAAGCGAACAAGGACCCAGGCAGGCAAGGGTGACACCTCAGGTAGAAGAGATTTCTCCCTAGCTAGTTGAGGGAGGAAAAGAAAGAAAAGGAAGAAGTCTTCTTGAAGCCAGTCACTGGATTGTCCTCATTTAGAAAGTAATCTATTTTTCTTCTGGAAAAAAAAATGAACGGAGTGTTTATGTCAACTACATATTCCCCTAGATACGAATTTGTGACCACAAAATTCCTTACACAAATTCGGATCTACAGGGTATATACAGAAGACAGACAGGTCTTCTTGGCCCAGGAAATTTCCAGTTCTCTTACTTTCGGTGCGTTCTTCTTTTGGGGTGTAGTTTGAATGCTTTCATTTTATTTCGTTTTGTTTTAATTTTGAGTTCTGGGAGCAGAAAAAGACACTGTGGGTCCATTCTTAGGATTACAACATTTTCAACTCTGCTATAAAAAGAATCAAAAATAAAAGCAGCCGTTGGGCAAAGGGACTCGAACCTCGTGGCTGCCGCGCGACTTTTCGGTGGCGCATGAATTATGAGATGTAAACATTAGCTAAGTACAAAAGGAGGAAGGGTCATCCTGAGGCTGCCTCGAAGTCAGAATCAGGCCTTTCTGGGTGCCCTCAGTCCCTCCCCTCCCCCATGACTTTTTTTTTAAGAAAAAAAAAAACAAAACCCCAAATCGGCTGCTCCCTTTCCCCCAGTCTTTACTTTGTGATCAAACGCATATCTAGATATTTTCCAAAGCAAAGGGAGGAGAGAAAGGCGGCTGGGTGTGAAGGGGGCGTAATAAAAGTCCTTTTGGAAAAACTGAATGGTAAAAAAAGGGAGAAACAGCTGTGAAGAAAAATGCTGGGAGACCAAGCAGATGGGGGCTCCCGGATATTTAATGATGGGCAATTCCGTTTACAACCTGAGAAAAAGATCAAAGGCGCTTCATTTCCGAATGAAGGGCAATGAGGAACCATAAAAGTTGCAGCCAGATGATGCGCAGACCCCTCCCAACTTCCCATATCCCTCCTACCCCCTAGCGACTGGAATGAAGGGACAGGCCTGTGGAGGTGTGGGAAGGACCTCCTTTGCGCACTTCTCAGCCCCAGGCTGAGATTCTCTGTCTCGAGGCACACTAACTGGGCCCATCCACCTGCTTGGGTTGCTGGCAATGGGGCCAAAATGGGATTCTGGCGGTTGAGAATGAACATCCTGAGGCTCCCTCCCAGTAACTGTTGGTTTACTAAACTGGAAAAATGAGAAATTGAGCTAGAAAGGACTGAAACTTAAACCCTGGGAGTTGTGACCAGGTGAGGACCGCTGTGGCGGGGAGAAGGTTCCTCACCACCCAGCTTCCTAGGTTTAAGAAATACTTTCGTCCTTACTGAGTAAACTAGAACACTGTCAATTTCACGAACATACACAAATCAGCCAAAACAACTGTCTAAACCACCTCACCCATACAGAAACCAGGAACTGGATAGGAGAGATCCCACCTGCAGGCAACTGGGTCCAGAGATCTCTGTTTCTATTATTTGTTTTGTTTTTAACCTACTGCATCTAGGCATTGCAATAGTGGCCTCTGAGTTTGGCTTCTAACCCAAATACCCTCCTAGCTAGCTAGACCAGACTCACGTATAGCTAGAGAGAAAAAAATATATTGTAGAGACAGGGTTCAATTTGGTCATCCATAGACAAAGTGTGTTGCTTTGATCTCCCACCAGCTCCCTAGGATCAAGCAAGAACCAAGTCTTCTCAAAGGGTATTTAGGGGTTCGACCACCCACTCCAACTGCCCAGGCCCCTCCCCTACCGCCATACCATATATTGATCTAATCCATCTGTGACTTGGAAGAGCATAGAGGCTGGTTTTTTCCTGATCTACAAGAGATGTGGCCCAGGTGTCCTGAGCACCAAGAGTGAGGAATGGGAGTAAAGAGACGCCCTGATCACTGAAATTTTCGCTTCTGAGAACTGGAGAGCCATCACCTGCCCTCCTACCAACCCCTGTCCACACTCCATCTCTGTGTAGACGCCAGGGGCTAAATACAAGATTTATCAGAAACCCCCAGGACAGATTTCACTACAGCTTGAGACAGCCTCACCTCTCTACTCCTGGAATAGCAACAACAATAAGCATAACAATAAAAATACACAGAGCTAGGGGTGTGTGCACCTTCTGCGCCACCTCTCTAGAGTTCCCAGGTTCTTTGAAGACCACTTGACTGCCTTCTCCTGGCAGCCACAGGTTGCTACTGTGACCTCTCGCTGCCCAGCCCACCCCGCCTCCGCCATCACAGGCATGCCCCGGCCCAGAAGAAAAGCATCCACCTTTTATGGGCGAGTTGGAAGTGAAGCAGAGAGGAAAGAAACCCCAGCAGAGGGCCAAGATGACGCTAGTCCCCAGCGGGCCCAAGCACCCGAAGCGCACTGAACGGAGCCAGGGACTGAGCCGGCAAGAGTACTCACCCAGCCGCTCGCCGCCTGCTCCCGGCCGACCCGCCGTGGGCCCGCTGAGCAACAGCTGAGCTCGCTCCTGTCCACTATTGTGTGTCCGGAAAACCGAACCGCGGCTGCGGGCAAAGGAACCACAGGCCCCCTCGGAGGCCGGAAAAAGATTTTTTTTTTTTTGGTGTGTTTTTGTTTTTGAAGCGCAAGTTTTCGTATTAATCTCATACTTTGGCAGTCTTTGTTAAACGGCTAGGCGCGTCACGAGGCTCTCGAACATTTTAATAATTTTTAGACGCCGTGACCTGCGGTTCACCCCTCTCCGGGCCTCCCCCACGAGCAGGCAGTTACTATAATATGCTCACGCAGTTCGCTCGGTCATATTGAATTTTGCGCAGGTCATTACTTGGGAGAAAAATGACAGAGCAGGAATTTGATTCAGCTTGCCCTCTCCAGCTCGACTTTTCTCTCTCCCCCCCCAACCCCACCCCAAAAAAGTCTCCATTGGAATACGATTCAGGCGGCCCCGCCCTCGCTTTGATTTTTCAATCATTCCTATATTTTTGTCAACTCCGGTTCCCAGGGCTAAGAGCAAAAGCCTATGGTCCCGTGGAGGGAATCCTTCTGAGGCCTGACCACTAACTAATTATACTGGCACTGGCACCTGAAGGGCAGAAAGTGTGTCATTGTGTATCTGAACCCTAGAAAACCGGCCTGACACAAGGGTTTCCTTCCCTGGCTCTTTTCCCTAAATGCCTGCACTCTCACGGCCTGGGTCGACTGTGACCATGTTACCCTCGTCATCCACTTTACTTGTGGCCCCAAATGCCATTTCTGCCAAAACTTTAGAGGCCCCAGAATTCCAGAAATGACTTTTCTACCTCTCTGGAATAGAGTTTGATCCACAGTAGATCCCATTGGGGAAGAGGGAACTCAGAGAGGGGCCAGGCTGCACTGGTCAAAGCAGGGAACTTGAGGACGTGGTTTTCAGAGGTTTTAATGGTCCCTTAAAACAAAACACTTTCCCTCCATTTTTTTTTTTAAAGAATATAGTTCTCATTCATTCATCAAGCTCTTGGGCCTTCCTCCATCACCATCAGAAAGACCTAGGTTTTAAAATCTGGTGGAATGTCTACAATGTATCCTTCCTCGTCTCTGACTCCCCCCCCCCCAGTAGACTGGCTGGTATAGTCTAGACAACTCCCCTTCCACCCAGTTAAGTTAGGCCAAGCCGAATGTGACGCTGGCAGAGTGGTATCCTCTAGAAAGGATGGGTTAGGGCAAGGCAGCCAGTTTGATCTGGGATAGCAGAAGTCTCTTTTCCCTTCCTGCAGTCTTTTTAGCCTGGGACCTTGGACCTCTCCAATCTATTTCTGATTTCTAAATTTGTCAACATTCTCTTCTGAGACGAAGGCAAATGAGACTAAGAGGGAACCAAAAGAAATAGATTCTCCTCTTGAAGCTGT